TTTTTTTTTCTGGAGGACTGGTGAACACTTAGAAATAGATCTGAAAATCTTAATTTGAAAAATACTGACCAACCTCTGTACTCATTTTACAAGCGAGAAAGCCAAATCTCAAAAGCTGCAGAGGCCTTGTCCAGAGTGCCTAAGTGTTATAGGCAGAAACCTTGGTAAAAATTGTGTGTGTGTGTATATGTGTGCATGTGTGTGAGTATGGTGCATATAACTTAGTTTGTGCCCACCTGGTTTTCCCTGGTCTTTAATCTTGAAACATTCTGTACATTACTAAAAGATAATGGTCAGATAGAAACCTGAGATACTACTTGGGAAGATGGCCTTGCAATTAAAATGTTTGTGTTTATTCTTTCATTTATTCATTTCATTTACCAATCCACTCACCCATTCAACATGAAAAGCAAAAAACCAACTGCACCACTAAGGAGGAAAACAAAGACATATTCTCTAATTCATGTGAAAAATATGTGCAATGTAAAAGACAAAACAAACAATATCTATAATAATAAAAGGGTAATATGCTAATTAGACCAGACATCTTCCAGACATCATTCTGGACAAACTTCGTGATGAAGCCAGCTTGAGTCCCAGGTGCCAGAGGGAAGTTGGTGCCAGCAGCCATTGGAAGGAAGGCCTGCTCTTGCATGAATTTTTGTGCATTGAGCCTCTAGTCCTACATAATCAAAGCATAGAATGTAAATTATCTCCTTGACCAACCGGGAGTTGCCTGGAAGTTTGACCAGGGAGCAGGGCTGGCCTGGGGAAGGGAGGGAGGTCCTGGCCAGTGGCAGCAACAGGCACCTGGGAGAAGGGATGGAGTACTGGGTCGGCATCCAGCTGCCACTAGGGACCCTACCAGTGCACGAACTTCATGCACTGGGCCTCTAGTAAGTAATAAAAACTAAATGGAATCTAAGATTGACTAATCATGTAATAGTTTAGAGATATACCTGTTAAAAAACTCAAAATTTAAGATCTTATAATACAACATAAGTATCAACCTATTAGTTATTAAATTATCCAATGAGATAGTTATCATTGGACACTTTTACAACCTACAAACATTGGCATTTGAGGGTTAAGCAAACCAAGTAATGACACCAGCATCAGTAATGTGGGTCTACATCTGGCTTGCCATATCTCCATCAGAGCAATTTCTAAGGACAAGTGACAGTACTAGTTCATATGCCTCTTTCTCTTTTAGGTAATTCTAAACCAATTTATGTAGTAAGGAAGTCAAGAAGATATGCTTTCAAAATATATTTATGGAACATTGAATGAATACAGATATACTCTCAGCCAAATTGTTTCATATTGTGTTTTTTGACAAGCTTTTTTACAGATCCAATTTCTATGAAGCTCATAAAAATATTGAAATTCTTAACATATGCATAGTTATATAGTATTAGTATTCTTAAAAAATCATAGGAATTAAGTGAAATATTTTCCTTCAAAGTGTTGAAAGATGTTGTTCTTTAGGTATTTATTACCAGTTTCAAATATTTTTGTATTTTCAAATAAGCAGGCTGAGACATTTTTCTGAAATACTTTAAGAGAGGTAGTAAAACTTGACTATTGGATATATAATAAAACTATTATGTAGCTTTGCCATTTTAGCCTATGTCGGGCAACAGCTTTCTAGAGACCAAAAAAGGTCAGATTGAGAACAAATGAAAGAAAACAAATACTCAATCTGTAGCCTCTTTTATTCTGGTGAAAGTAACATTAAAAATTAATGAATTTTATTTATTTCCTTTTTACCAAATTTTATCTTGTTTTCTCCTGACTGTGAAAACCATTTCAGTTTCTTTGCATAATATTAGAAAATTGACTGAGCACTAAACATCTAAACTCATCATGTTATCTCTTATTTTCTCTAAAAGATAGAATAACTATGTTGAAGTCATATATTATTCTGCAGGCATAAATTTTTCATAGTTTCTACTTCATTGTTTTGCACTAATTAATTTTCTTTATAATTGTTTATTTTCAAATTAACATGGAAATGATATTAATCATAATACCTTATTTGTTTTCATACTAATTATATAGATCAGTATTTTCACAACAAATAGTTTGGGTGCTCTTGTATTTATCTTATTGTGGCCTCATAGTTTGATTGAAACTTTAAAAAATCTATATAATTACTTGAAAATTATTTGATTATTTGGGAGAACTTTTTCTAGCAAGAGTTTTTTGTTTTTTTTCAGTGAGTTATATTTGTGTGTGCTCACTTATCTAGAAATAATAACTATTGGGTAATAATTGTGGGACTAAACTATTAAAAACCATTACTGGCAAAAGAAGGAAAATATCACATTTACATTAATCTTTAATAAAGAGAAACATCATTGTTGTCAAGAGACAAAATTCTTAATAATCCTTAAAGAAATATTAAAAAAAAATTCACTGAAGACAAGTCAACCTTTTGATAGACTATAAAGAAATCAAATGTAGTCAATATGTTAATCTACCGTATTTTTCGGACCATAAGACGCTCCGGACCATAAGATGCACCAGTTTTTAGAGAAGGGAAATGAAGAAAAAAAGATTCTGAAACAAATAGTGTCCTAAAATATTTTATGTGCATTAAAACCCAACATCACAGTCATAACACATGTAATCAACCCTGTAAAGTAAACAGCAGCATTTAGAGCCGGGCAAGCACACAGAGACCACACAGAGCTGGGCAAGTAAAAAAACTTTTTTTTAAAAGTATATATGTAGGCTATATTTGGACCATAAGACGCAGGGACTTTTCCCCCCCACTTCTGGGGGGGAAAAAGTGCGTCTTATGGTCCGAAAAATACGATATATAACTTCTAATCTCAACTAGACTTAAAAGTGAATGTTTTCTAACTGCCTTTGTACTTAAATATATTCAAGTGAGGCATTTTACTTAAATTGTTATAGGTAAAGTATGAAGTTTCCAAGTCACTTACCCATCTCTAATTCCAAAATATTGATTGAGCTCTAGCCCAGATATAATGACTCCTATATGCCAAATAATCACAATTTAATCTCACTGCAATTCTTTTGTTTGAGATTACACACACACACACACACACACAGAGTGGCCAGATTATTATGATCTCTGAACACATAATAAGCTGGCCATTCAGTGTATATCCTATATATATATATATAAAAAAAATGCAAATTGTTCCCTTGACCAGGAGTTCGACCAGCAGGCAGCCAGGCCAAAAGCCCATGTCCCCTTCATCTGGCCTGGTTGGCTGGACCCCACCCATGCACAAGTTCATGCACTGGGCCTCATATATATATATATATATATATATATATATATATATATATATATGCATTCAGAGATCATAATAATCTGGCCTCTCAGTGTATATAAAGTTGGTATTTCATTCATAGAACAAAGGTTAAAAAGTTATAAAATACAGTTAAATCTCTAAATAGACACTGTGCATCTTAACCTTAGGAAAAGAAGAATGAAAGAGCAGATAGTTACTGATATTAAAACTGTTCATCTGAAAGGCCAACGCATATGTCATCTTGTTAAACTGACCCCACTCCTCATAAATTCAAGAGAAGGGTCTGAAAAGGAAGAAACACATTCTCTAACCTTCAAGTCTCTTAAGAGCATAGAATTTTAAAGCCTAAGACAAAAGCTGACAAATAATGATTGTTGAATAGGTTTAGCCACTTTGTCCAAAGAAGGGAGTTTAATTACAAGGCAGCATAATTTTGGAGACTCTGCCAGGATTGGGAAAACATAACTTCATATTTTAGAAGCTTAGTTGAAAAGAACATTAGGTTTCATTTTGGATGACACGATCTCACAGTGGTGATCCTGGTTCATGCAGAATTAGTTGGAACACGTCTCTCCAGGTCTTGGAAGAAGGAGAGACTGCAGAGTTTTGCTGGGAGGGACCTGTTATCGACATAACAGTGGGGTGGGGTTCACTAGAGTGAGTCACCTCCTGAGGACTCACAGAAGGTCAAGGCCTTTGGAGAACCTGAGGCCTCAGCTTGGAAGAGAAGAGTGACATCATGTTGTCAAGAGACAAGGAGTGTATGCTTGGCAGATAGAGCTGGCTCTTTAGGGCTTTACTTGGGGGAGGGATCTCTCATGATGCACTGGCCAAGAGATTCAGCAGATGTTGCCTGAGGGAAAATGGTGCTGGAGTAAAAGCTATTCTTCATATGCAGATACCTCATCATCAGAAATTTAAATGCACAAACAAAAATCCCCCCGGTTTTCAACAAACTGACAAATGAAAGAGAAGCCCACCTTTGGCCTCCTCTCAGAATTCTACTTTTATAAGGGACTTGAGTTGTTGTTGTTAATCCTCACTGGAGAAATATTTTTCCATTGGTTTTTAAAAAGAGTAGAAGTGACAGTGAAAGACAGAGAGAAATATCCATGTGAAAGAAGCACATCGATTGGTTGCCTCCTGCATGAGCCCTGACCATGGCCTGGGCCAGGGAGGAGCCTGCAACCAAGTTATGTGCCCTTGACTGGAATGGATCCTGGGACCCTTTGGTCTGCCAGCCAACACTCTATCCATGAAACCAAACTGAGTTGGGCACGGACTTGAGTTTTAAGGGATCTTGGGCTTTCCAAAAAGGGTTATATTTTTATTTAATAATGAGGCCCTAGCCTAGAGTCTAATGAAAAGGAAGAACTGAGAATTTTAGAAATACCATTAGAAATAATTTCAGCCCTAATCAAAAGAAAAAAGTGTCCAGGGAGGACATTCCTATCTAGACTAATGCCTACCAAGATTAGACTCCACTTTTAACAACATAGATTAAAAAAAAAAAAAAAAAAACTTTTGAAAAGCCATGCCAAAATATGGGAAAAAAATGAAGTCTAGGAGGCAGTTATAAATTGTGTGGTAAAATAAACAATATTGGGTGATTTCCTGGCATTTGGTGGCAAAGAGCTGCAGTGATTAAACTAAAATGTTTTAAGTCCAGCAGCTACCACTTTGTGGCTTTCTTACCACTACTTCCCTTAGGTTGCCACACAGCTTCTCCTCAAGTCCAAGTTGAAATGATCAGAGCACAGAGGAAATCCAAACCCTTTCTCCTGGCTCCTGGGCCTCATATCTGCTCCAGAGTCTGGTGAGTTTCAAAATACCTGAGCACCTTCTTCATACATTGGGTATTTGTGCAGCTCACTCTCCTGTGTCTTGCCAACATGTACACTTTGAGGTGGTTATTCTGTAGTGTTAAATGTTGTGTACACTATTGAGGTACATCAGAAATATGTTCCGGTAAAGGTGTTGATGGGTTATATGGTGAACAATTAAACAGAATGAACTGTTAATGATTCACATGATACACTAATATACTATAGCACATGTGTCAAACACAAGGCCCGCGGGCCAAATCCGTCCCGCTAGGCCTTGCAATGTGGCCCGTACCGCGCTGTCATCACTGCACTCTGCTGCGTTTCCATAACAATGACAGTTTATGACTGTTCAGTAAACCATTCGGCCCGCCATTTAGGCTGGATTTTAGATTTTGGCCCCTTCTCTGATTGAGTTCGACATCCATATACTATAGCAATGGAACTGTGGCACCTGGAGCAGACCCAGGCACTTTGAACCTTGGCCTAGGTTGCCTAGGTAATGAGCTGTTCTGTACTTTCTCTCTTCTTCCCACCATTGTAAGGCAGGGAAGAGTAGCTTCCAGTATCATGAAGTAATTGATAGTACAAACTTTGAAGCTGGACTGTTCAGGGTTTAATTGCCAGCTTTGCCACTTTCTAGCCATGTGATCTTGGGAATATATATAATCTTACACACACGTGTGTGCGCACACACACACACACACACACACACACACACATATATATAAATATATATATATATATATATATATATATACATATATACATATACATATACTCATTTAGTTCTTTTTTCTTTATTTTTAATTTCCACTTTCACTTCCCTCCATCCTTCGCCCCTTTTCCCCGGCAATCACCATATTGTTGTGACCTCCTAGTTCATAGGTCTGACGCATTTTAAGTGCCCTCTAGGTGATACTAATTATCAGTGGGAAATTGAATCTTTTAACTAGTGTTGGAGTGTTGTCTGTGAACAAGGAATATTCGTCACTATCCAAGAGAACATTTTTTAAGTCTTCTTCACAGTAAAATCTCACGAAGAGAGACAGGTTAACTCAATTTTTTTTTCTAACAATATAGATTAAATTTTATCTTCTCTTTCTAAAATGTTAGAGTGCATAAGTGCACTAATGAAGTAGTATATGGCACCTTAAATCTCCTGCATAAAGATTTACTGTTTAGAAATCTCCCTGCTTGCTCTTTTGAAATAGATGAGAGAACTAACTGGCACAGGTTTCCCTTGAATGGAGACCACAGTATCAGACTATACTACCGTACCAGGGTTCCATTTCTTTCTTTTTTTAAATATATTTTTATTGATTTCAGAGAGGAAGGGAGAAGGAGAGAGAGAGAAACATCAATGATGAGAGTCACTGACCAGCTGCCTACTGCACACCCCTTACTGGAGATTGAGTTGGCAACCTGGGCATGTGCCCTTGACCTCTTGGTGCATTGGACAACAATCAACCAACTGATCCATACCTGCCAAGGTACCCAGGGTTCCATTTTCAACAGTATCCCAACCTTTGATCGGTTTGGCTCAGTGGATAGAGCGTAGGTCTGCGGACTGAGGGGTCCCAGGTTCGATTCCGGTTAAGGGCATGTACATTAGTTGCGGGCACATCCCCAGTTGGGGGTGTGCAGGAGGCAGCTGGTCAATGATTCTCTCTCATCAATGTTTCTAACTCTCTATTCCTCTGCTTTCCTCTCTGTAAAAAAAAAAAATCAATAGAATATGTATTACTAAAAAAAAAGAAAAAAAAAGAAAGAAATGCCAATGTGTGCAAATAATACAAATCAATGAGTGAATAAAGGGGACAAGGTAATCTCAGAGAGAATTAAATGCTATGGAGCAATCAAACATATGGGATGAAGTCTGACCTTATTTGAAGGAAAGAACAGATCGGGCATAATGGTAGGTATAGGACAAGTTAGATATAATTTTAAATAGAATGCTGATGAAAAGCTTTCATGAGAAAGTGATGTTCGAGGAAAAGGAGAGGGTTGTTAAAGATACAGGAACAGCAAAATCCCTGAGATTGGAACTTGAGAAACATTAAGTAGTGCAGAGTAGTTGGAGTATAGAAAGTAAGCATAATATGAACTGAAAGTAGAGATAAATAGTAGCCTAGACAGTGTGTGAGACATAACAGGCCAGCACAATAAGAACTAGCTCACAGCCATTGTAAGATTTAGTTTATAGGCTGCCTGAGATGAGAGGCCTTTGGAGGATTCTGAGCAAAGGAGTCACTTGTTCTGTCTTCCATTTAAAAAAAAGATAATCTTGCCCTAACCGGTTTGGCTCAGTGGATAGAGTGTTGGCCCGTGGACTGAAGGGTTCCAGGCTTGATGCCTGTCAAGGGCAGGTACCTTGATTGTGGGCATATCCCCAGTGGGGAGTGTGCAGGAGGCAGCTGATCGATGTTTCTCTCTCATCGATGTTTCTAATTCTCTACCACTCTCCCTTCCTCCCTTTAAAAAATCAATAAAATAAAAAAGATAATCTTGCCCTGGCTGGTGGAGCTCAGTTGTTAGACCACCAGCCTTTGCACCGAAGGAGGACTCAAGGGTTTGATTCCTGGTCAAGGGCACCTACCTGGGTTGGTTGCAGATTCAATCCCTGGCCCCAGTTTGGGAGCCTGTGGGAGGTGACCGGTCAATGTATCTCTTTTAACTCTCCCTCTCTCTCTCTGATCCCCTCCCTCTTTTCCACTCTCTCTGAAGAAGCAATGGAAAAAAGTATCCTCAGATGAGGCTTAACAACAACAACTAAAAAAAGACCATCTTGTTTGGTGTATTAAACATAGTATCTAAGGGGGAAAAATAAAGTCAGGGAGAACAATTAGGATGTCATGTGAAAAATAATAGTATATCATAAAAGGTATTAACAGTGGGGGGTGTTAAGAAATGATAAGCCTTGGCTAGTGAGGCTTAGTTGGTTGGAGTATCTTCTTCTACAGTGGTTTAATTCTGGGCTGGGGCACATACCTAGATTTCAGGTTGCATGGCTGGCCCTAGTCTAGGTGTGTAGGGGGCAGCTGATTGATGTTTCCCTTTCTCTTCCCCCTCTCTTTAAAAATCAGTGAACATGTCTTCTGGTGAAGATTGGAAAAAGGAAAGAAATGGCTGAATTCTCCAAATACTTTAAAGATACAACCAAAATGATCTGATAATACATTGATACATAACAGAAATAAAGTGACTAACTTTGACTTTGATGTTCTTTTGACCCAAGCCAGCAAGAGGAATTTTGGAGTTTCCATTTACTAAAATGATATGACCTATATGATTAATGATTATTTCATGTAAAAAAAAAATCAGAAATTTAAATTTCAGATGTCTTTATGCATCCAAATGTAGTCAAGTAGGCAGTTATCTGAACTTGAGGAAATCCAGGCCAGAGATGTGAGATAAGGTTTTCAGAATTCGGGCCATGTAAATCCCAATACTAGAGACCATTGCCAGAGAAGTAAATGCAAGCAGAGATGTCCAAGTACTGAGACTGAAAGCACACTAAGCAGAGTTCAGAGGTAGATGCAGCCACTAAGATTTAGAACAAGTTGCCCAAGAGGTAGGTATCTATAATTATTTGATGACCTAGTGCCAAGTGAAGAAAGGATTTGAAGGAAGAAAAGGTGACTAGTTGAATTTAACAATGTAGAGATGATTATTAAGCTCAATAAGACAACAATGGTGATTTATGAATGATTCGAGTAAATATAAAAGAGAATGGAGTGAGAGAAAATAGGGACGGCAAGTACTGAACATTAACTATTAACTAGGGAGTAAGCTGACAGGAAAATGATGTCAAGAAAGTTTTATTGCATTACGTTTGCTATTTGTTTTTTTTGTTTTTTTTTTTAATGCTTGAGAAAGAAATATATTTGTATGTTAATGGGAATGTCCCAATAGAGATGGAGAAATTGATGATGCAGAATTGAAAGGAGAGAACAACTGGAGTAAAGCTCAAATCCATAGGACAAAGGGACCAAGAGCACAGAGGGAAACAACACTTACAAGGGTGTGAATCCTTAGTTCATCTAGTAATAGAAGAGAGACTTTATGAATGAGGACACCAGCAGTTGGGTCAACATGGAATGAGAACCTGAATTTCTTCTGTTTTTGTGTGTTTCCCCCTACCTCCATGAAATAAAAAAAGCAAAGTCATCAGCTAAGAAAAAAAGCTGGAGAAGAGTTGAGCAACTAAGGAAATAAAAAGTTTTCCCAATTGATGGGAAAACTGTAGTATGATTACTGAAAATCATTAAGGGGGCATGTTAGTTTGTAGTATTGATTACGGGGGGGGGGGGGCGAATTTTGTTTTTCATCAACTGTGTTGACCTGCACAGGTAGATGTACAGAGTAAGCAGAAAGATAGATTTATTCAGGTTGGGGTTATGAAAAACAAGTAAAGCAAGGAGTCAATGGAATTGATGGTGTACACAAAGAGAAGGATTACTGTAACAAAATAAGCTATATATAAATTTATACCCTCAGAAAAACCAGTAATAAGTGAAATATAACATTCAACAAACTTTGAAATATTCAAAATGGTTTTCTTGAACTAGATAGTCTTTAGATAAAGGATGCTTTATAAAATTAAAATATAGGTCACATGCCACATTATATGAATTTCAGCTGTATAACATACTTATTCAGCATCTATATAACTTACAAAGTGTTCACCCTAATAAGTCTAATAGCAATCTGTCACCATATAAAGTTATAATGATACTATTAATTATATTACCTATGCTGTGCATATATCTCTGTGACTATTTATTCTATAACTGTAAGTTTGTACCTCTTATTCCTCTTCACACATCCACCCACACCTTTTTCCTCTGGCAACTATCAGTTTGTTCTCTACATCTATGAATCTATTTTTATTTTAAAATTTCACATGTAAGCAGATCACATGGTATTTGCCTTACTATGACTTTTTTATTTTCAGTTAATAGAATACTCTCTAGATCCATCCATGTTTTCACAAATGGCAAGATTTTATTTTATTTCTTATGGCAGAGTAATAATCTAAGGTGTGTTTGTGAATATATCATATTTTTCTTTCATATATCGAGGGACAATTCATTCATATATTGAGGGACACTTAAGCTGCTTCCATACCTTGGCTAGTACTTTTGTTTTCTTAGGGTAAAAAACCAGAAGTGGAATTTCTGGAACATATGTTCTACTTTTAGTTTTTTTTTCTTCAGGAAAAGTATACTTCTAATTTATCATGGGACAAAAAAAATCTAAGCAATAGTCAGAAAGTTGATGTCCTATTTTTTCTACCAAGAATAACAGCCAGAAGAACTGCATAAATTTGAACTTTTTACTCTTTGGTATCTCTATACCATTTGGTACCTTTTAATGAATCTCTTTTTCTTGAGACTCTCACTTCCTTTGGTGCTTACCACCCCCACACCTACTCTTTGACAACTTCCAGTGGTTGGTTGGTTGCTTATTCTTTCACCCACACTGTGTCTCTCTTTCCCAGTGATTGATCCTCACATATTCAATCATTCTCTCTTTCAATTACCCATATCAACTGAAAATTTTGCTTAATTTCTAGATCATAATATCTCATATTTAGACTAATTTGTTCTTCCTCTCCGGAGTTCAGTCCTTAAATTAGACCCCAGTCCAATGTCTGTTCCCTTAGTTGACATATGTATCATTCATCTGAAGTAAACAGATAAATATCAAACAATTTTAGACTCAGGACAGTTAGGTGATTTTCTCAGAGCTACATTGGAAACTTTATCCCAGTACTCCACTCTACTATAATTCTGTATGTTGAGAAATTTGCAAGCTACATACTCAATCTTGATTACATTGATCTATTATTTTCTATATTTATCACTTTATAGCACACTGTATGATTTATATGTTTATCAACTGATTTGAGATTGTTTCCAGTAGAATCTAATCTTCTAGAATTTTGTGAGGAATATAGTAAATATGTGGGTTGACACAATAGGTAGTCTAATATCAAAAGGAAAAAGATAACAAAATATGCTGTCTTACAGCACTGGCAATAAATATGAAAACTTTTGTCTTCTCAGTTCCAATAGATGAGAAAAGCATATGTGGAAGAGAATAATTTAAAGCTTCAAGGAAGAGTAAAAACTTTACCAAAAAAACAAGGGTAGACAAAAGAGACTCTAGTGTCCAAGTAGAAGTGCATTGTATACTTATTGAAGGCATTATCTTACCTAATAATAGACATACATGTAAAATTGACCATACCTCTGTTACACCACCAACCAGCCAATCAGGAATAGTGTGCAAATTAGCCCAACAAAGATGGCAGTTAATTTGCATACACAGGTGCTGAGTGATGGGTGCAGGATGCTTGCCTCATCGCCATGGCAATGACACAGGCATTTTGTCCCATCCCTGGTCTCTCAAGGCCTCCTGGCAGTGTGGGAAGGTTGGGCTGGAGAGGAAAGAGGTGGCTCTGGAGCCTGAGCAGAAAGGGGCTGGGCCTGAGTGGAAAGGTGATGCCAGCAGCCAGGGAAAAGAAAGCCCATTCTAGCACAAATCTTCTAGTTTTCTAATAAAAGTTTTGCACACTATACCAGCAAGAGAAAAAATTTCAAAGCATTTGCTTGCCAGCACTTCCGTGACACCAGCCACCACCATGGGCATAAAACAGACCCTGACTTCCTCCTTGGCACATATACATGGACAGGGATGTGGTTGAAAGTTGTCTCAGTCACAGTGATATTTTCATTTCAGGTTGGTGGAACTTCATTAGAGCTCAAGAAAAATCATCATCAAGGAATCCACAAAAAAGGTTTGGTCCCAGCAGCTTGACAAATTCAGACTAAAAATGAATCTCAGAATTTAAATTCCAAATGCCAGAGATCTCTGGATATATCAGAACATTGTGTGGGCTAAAAATTGTTAATATTGCTGAACCTGGTTTGGCTCAGTGGATAGAGCATCAGCCTGCAGACTGAAAGGTCCCAGGTTGGATTCCGGTCAAGGGCATGTACCTTGGTTTCGGGCACATCCCTAGTTGGGGATATGCAAGAGGCATCTGATCAATGTTTCTCTCTCATTGATGTTTCTAGCTTTCTATCTCTCTCCCTTCCTCTCTGTAAAAAAATCAATAAAATATATTAAAAAATAATGTTAATAATTTTTACTTCTTTCTTTTAGGCTAGGCTATTATCCAAATTAACAGAGACAGACTACTAGAAGAAAATAAATGTGCATGGGGAATGCACATAGGCATGAAAATTCCAGACAGTGAGGCAAAATGGAATCTGTAAGATATTTTGGACAAAGAAGAAAGGTGGGGGAGGAGCACAGGGTAGCAGATTTCAAAAGTGAGAATAGGCAAGGAACAGGTAGTTGAGGAAGAGCAAAATATATCCTTGTTGTCAACTCTAAATCAAGCTAACAGGCACCTTCCTGAAGCACCTATTGTTTATCATACTTACTTCAAATTAGACTAGGGAACATCCTAAGATTTCCTTCCTGAAGTAGGATTCTCTGTCTAAATCTCTGGGGCAGAAAAGGGGGAGGGGGGCAGGGTCAAAAGGTTTTTCCTGAGTCTTTTGTTTCTTAATAAACAGCTTAAAATCATTATCCCAAAAAGAAGCTTCAGAGTGACAGAATTTTGGCTCCTTCAAAACATTACCCTTTAATAAACTAAAATGCAATGAACTAAATTCTCATACATGAACCCTCTTCAGTACTTTTGATGCCAAAATTTATTTTCGAGTCTGAGTTGTTGTCTCACAAAATTGAAGAATGAGTTCATGGACAAAGACAGTGGAAACATTTATTGAGAGATAGACAGACTGAGTCCCTGCAGCAAGGAGCAGCAGGAAGAAGGCCCAAAATGGGTTACCAGTTCAAAGTCTTGGCCTAGAGGTAGATATATGTTTTGCTGGCTTCTGATTGTTTTTTTCAAAGATTTTTGTCTTAGCAACATCCTTGTGATTGGTTATCTGCAAGTTGCCCATCTTAAGAAAAACCAGAAGTGCAGAGATCATGTGCACATTCAGTCCTTATTCCACAAAAAATTTATTGAGTTCTCTACTAAGCTTGCAGGTTACACAGATTAGAATATGAGAAATTCTGTTTCTTTTAAGAACCTCAGAGTTAAGTTGAAAAGACAGATAAGTAAACTGTTAAAAGAAAATGTAAATGCTTCCACAGAGCTCCACACATGGTTCTTTGGGAGCAAACAGCAGGTGTAGCTGCTGGAGTATCAAATGGAAAAGAGTTTCAAGCAGGAAGTTGGATTTTATCTGAGTTTTGGAAGACTTTTCCTTAAGAATCTTGGTAAACATATAAAGAAAGGAAAACTCTTTCAGGAACTTGGTTAGTGTGCAAAATGGGGAGATTTTTATTGACTCAGGAAGGTATGGTTGCACCTGGGTATGGGGAATAGGGTTAGGAATGAAGCAATGAGTGGAGGGGAAAAAGGGAATCCCAGCTGCTACCTTCAAACTCTCCTTTTCAGGCAGGATAATAAGAAGCTAGAAAAATTCATTGGCAAGTGAAATGGAGAAACTGAGACAGACAGATGATTCAGATTGGCCCCACTCAGTATTCTACCTACCTGCTCCCTTCTCTCTTGAACAGCCAGTCCCTTAAGCATGAAGCCCTTAGGAAAATAAGGTTCTGCATAGAACAAATAAGGTTCTGATCTGTCAAAGAGACAGAGTTTTGGTTAAACTAGAGATAATAGGTAGGCCTTGGTTGTGTTTCATCATCAAGCCTAGAAAATCAGCAAAACCAGATGAAGGAATGCATGGCTGACAACAGGACTAAATGCAATGACTAATGACCCCTTACTAATGCTAACTAATTAGTAGAGACAATAGCCCTAAAAGGACACACCGGGAAAGCTGATGAATATTTTATTGAGATCCTTTCCAGAAACCTCTCCTAAAATCTCTGCCTTTAA